ATCGGCATTGGAGGCAATGCTAGTTTGCAACTGCTTCCTGAACTGATGAACAACGTGGGTGTCATGATCAAGGCGTTGCTGAGGGTTCGTCGGGACTCCTTAATGAAATCATGGGTCCCGTCCGGACGCCGAGGGGTGTTGCCTGGTTCGCATCGCCTGTAAGAGCAGGGGTGCCTGGTTCTCGCGTTTAGGGGCGAGGTGTGCTGGTTTGGTGGGTTGGTTTTTTTAAGTTACGAGTTAGGAAGAGTCGAATTTGATAGCTCGGCGGGGCTCCTGGTTTGGGTCGCGCGGTCAGAGGTGTCTGGTTCGAAGTGTCCGGTGCATATGTTGTTGTCGGATCTGACCTTGAAGGATGCCGGTGTTTCTCGTCCAGTGGTCTGTGTTGCTAGTTCGATCGCCTGGTTTTCAGAGGTTGGGTCCGACTGCCTGGTTTGCATGCCCGGTTCAGGTGTCAGTTTTAAGTGGCGTGGTTTTCGGTGTAGTGGGTTGCCTGGTTTGGTATTGAGCTGCCTGCAAGACTTCAACGTGTTAGTTAGAGTCGCGACGTCATTATGGGTTGCCCCGTTTGAGCCTCCTGCGTAGGCTTCAGCAGGAGGTTCGAACCGGACAAGAAGCTGAGAGCGACTCTGAGCGCGTGGGGAGAGCAAGAAAAAGGACTTTGATCCGTTTAACCCTAACCCTGGGGAGAGTCGCCTGGTTTGTGGAATTTTGGGTTGCCTGGTGTGAACCTCCTGCTGAAGCCTACGCAGCAGGTTCAAACCGGACAAGAAAGTGAGAGTGACTCGAAGCGAATAAAGAGGGACGAGCAAAGGAAGACCAGAGGGAAAGAGAAAGCAAGGGGGAACTTTGATCCGTCTAAACCATAACCCCAATTTTAGCACTCAGTATGTACCAAAGGGCGCTTTCCGCTGCTTTCCCTTGGCCACTTGTTTGCCACAGTAAGAGATGATCGAGACTCCAATCTCAAGCATTCAACACGCAAGGAATAGACTCAATCCCCGCACTTGTTCAATCTGTCCCGAGCTTTCGTAATCCCCCTCAACATTCGACTTCGACCTCCCAGCTAACATCAAGAGCGTCCGTATGAAATATTCGAACCTCCGTCACTATCTATTTGCCACCATGTCCACAACTACTCGCCGCCTATCTTACAGATTCCTGCGTTACAAACCGGCTAGCACAAGCAGGGAAATTTTGCGATCATGAGTCAGAATAACACTCTCCTCATGTTCCGAGTAACCCTGCATTACAATACGCTGCTTTCACTGCAGCTCCTGGCCACAACCGTTCGAGAATACATCGCTACTCTCATGGATGCCAAGTAGATCCCTCCTCGATTACATAAAACATCGGGTAAGGTCTATTCAAATGATCAATGTGAACAGCAGAAATTTTGCCTCTCATCCCACCGACATCCTGAGCTCAAGCCCGGTTTCAATACCCAGGCCGATCCCTCATCTCGTAAGATATCTTTCCCTCTGAGACGCGGCGCTTCCTCTATGACATCCCCTCTGCGTCGTTTTCGGATTTTGGATACTGGTCCTCTGACACAAGTATCCCCCTCTGCCTGTCTGTAATCTACCTAGATAACTTGAAGGTTTCATTCTCAATCATTCTCTCAAAAGCGAAGTAGTCACTATGTAACGAACCAACCCCTGCACCTCCAATCCTCTGGGTGGAGGTCGATGTGTCGGATTTCTTACTCACTTTCGTCATTTCCCCGCCACTAAGCAGCGTCATGATGTAGCAGTTTCGACGCTAGTGTTGGTGGGCTGTCCCAGGTAAGTCTTCAGGCTTCAGCGCTATAGGCGAAAATACACAGGAGGTGGGAAGGTTGGGTAATCGACGAAAGCTCTCCGTATTCACTAAGCGTAGGTGGCCAAATCACTTTGATTGCGGTGATTCGTTTCGGTACTGAAAAAGTCTCGCCTCTAGAGAAGGACACACTTGAGACTTACAAAGGGAGACTTTGGGCCATGTTGAAAGCCGGAGAGCGAATGCATGAATACAAAGGACGGAAGAAACCCATGTCTAATCCCTGCTACCGTGACATTGGAGAGAAAGGTGCAGCTAAGCCCTTGCCAGGCTCCCTAAGCAACCCATTAGAATCCTGTTCAATCAAGATACTCAAGATACTCAAGATACTCACAGATCCGAGCAGAACGATCTCCCGAACCCGATGCAAGAAGGTCATTGTTTGAGCTGAGATCCAGTGAGATGACTACCACACTTCGTTAGGACCGGTAGGTTGGCGAAGGAACTTGAAAGGAGGGGGAGTCGTACCTGAATTCTTGTGTCCCTGGAGCATCAACTGCAGCATCGCTGTCTGCGAGTCCCAGACATGTATACAGCAATCTTTCGATCCACTAAATACCCACCGCGAGTCACTGGTCATTATTACCGAGAGGACGTAATCTTACCACCACCTGAATCAGCACCCATTCGACACCAATATAAAATACGAACCTTGTGTCCAATGAAATCTATCACACAATTCGCGTTCTGCGCAACCTTACCCTCCCTCTCCATCCTCTCCATCCGTTCCCTCTCAACCCTATCCCTCTGATCCAGATTATCCGCTGCTTTCCTCCTTTCCTCCACCCTACTTAAGTGGCTCACATTCCACAGTTTCAACGTCTTGTCCAAACTCCCTGTCACCAGCCCCTTGCCATCCGGGGTAAACGCCACACTATACACACCATTCGTATGTCCCCTCAACCGCTCCAATAGCTGACCCGTCTGGACATCCCAGATCCTGATAGTGTTGTCCAGCGAGCCTGCAGCGACGAGTGCGGTAGAGGGAGAGATGGCGACGGACGAGACGTGCCCGTCGATGTTGTGGTCAATCACGTCGGTGATGGTAAAGACGTTGCATTTCCTGGTTTCCATGTCCCAGATTCGGATCGTGCGGTCGCCGGAACCAGAGGCAATGAGGCGGCCGTCTTGGGAAAAATCGAGAGAGTAGACTCCTTGTCGGTGGCCGGAGAAGACCTGTCGGACGAATCTGTGTGCAATGTCCCAGATCTAGTCGACGGGTGAGACAGTCGAAGGGAGTAAAGGAGAGAGGAAGAAACGTACCCTGATTTCACAATCTTCTGCAGCAGTAGCGAGAAATTTGCCGTCTGGGCTGAACCGGACACAGCGAATGTACATGTCACCCGTGCCTGTATCGCTACCGTGAGGTAGTTCACTTCAACCAGTATCAGCATGGGCCTCACTTTCAAAGAAAGGCACTTGCCACACTTTAATCCCTGGCTTGGTGTCGAAGATTTGCGCAGTCCCATTGCACCCCGTAGCCAAGAATCGACCATCTTGCGAGAACTGCACACATGCCCAGGAAGCGCTATTTGGAGAAGTCGTGAATGTATACCAAGATCCCATCGAAAATATCACCGGAGGCGAAGCTTAGTTTAATAGTACTGCATGCACAGGAGCCACAGCCAGGCATTCGAATAGCAAAGTAGTAATCATCGATTCTCAGACTGCATGTATAGGCGCTCGTGAAAAGGGACACAGCATTCCATCCTTAGCCTTGCTTCGGTCCTGGGCTATTATTACTGCGGCTAGAAGGCGCACAAAGTAACGATCTAGTCTCAGCCCAGCTACCTCTGTAAAAACCAGCCGATATCTAAATGTCTCGGGCTTGCCCAATCTGTCCCAAGCTTCCATAATCTCCTTCGATGTTCTGCTTTGACTTTAACGTCCATTCAACTCTTCCCCTCAGCGTCTCCAAAGCACGATCCATGGAAGATTGGCCGCCTAAAGTTCCAATGCTTCAACATTCTGTTAAGCCTAAACGAGGAAAATGCTAATATACATGAGTCAAGGCACATGGACAATGAACACGAGAAAAGGCATACCTCAGGAGCTGAATAGGAAATTAGTAACTAAGGGAAAGAAGGAGACGAAGCAACGGTGCGTATAGCTAGTTAACCATGGGAAAAGGAAGCCTACGAAGCGACGTCGACTGTACAGACGGACGAGAAAGGGGCGAGACGACCAAAGAGGAAAGAGGAGCACCGGAAAAGGCCAACACATATCCACATTCTCTTACAGACTATTCACATTTCGTTCTGCCTGGCAATTCTCTTTATCATCTGCCTTCATGTCCTCCCCGCCTCTGAGCTCCGCATTCTACCATCCATATGACAATGGGAGAAGAGGGAGCCCCGGTCTAGAAAGCCTGGCGGCGTGCTCACCTCCCAACAATCATGGGGTGCTTTCACGGCAATACCTGAGCTGGAGGGCCGGTAAAACACACGAGAGCATCGGGATTTAGTCTCATAAACCTTTCTCTAAGACTTTTCAGACAACGCCCTGTTTCAGTCAAGTCTTATAATCAGGGTTCAGGTGACGGAAGCTTCTAGGTAACAAGACACGAGCTGGGCTCCTGAAAGCGGCCTCGAACTAGGGACGCCAGCGTGGTAAGAGGTAAACAACCGGTTGTCCACTACGCTGACCATTGATCGGTATAGATCTTACTCTCGATATTCCAACCCGTAAAAAGCTGCACGCAAAAAGGAGTAGCTAGGAGCCAACAATCAGAGTCCATACTGCATGGACAACTAGCGGGCAAGGATTGATCCTGGAATGAATGTGACTTATGTCACCTGCTCTGAACGTCTCGTGGCCTCAGTATCTCATGTATTCGCAGCTCGCAATTCGGATACTTGTCCCCTGGTTCCGTTTATCCTCTCTGCCTGCAAGTTCAATGTACCGTGATTGCAAACAACCTGCAATCCACGTGATTACTGTGTCACACATTTCTTCAGTCCACTCACTTTAGCATGTGGGGGGCCGTTCCTGCTACGCTGTTGCTAGTGTATTTTACCAGATCACTCTGCAGCGCTATAGACGGGTGGGGAAAAAAATCCAGAGGAGAATAGGGTAATCAACGAAAGGATCTCCGAGCTACAGTACCTACATATAACAACTTGCAACTTGATGGTAGACTTGCTTTCCACGTTGTTTTCTGCCTTCACTACGAAGGAAACAAAAAATCCGACTTGCCTGGTTCGAACAGGCGACACCCAGATTAAATAATGCCCGATTACAGTCTGATGCTCTTCCAACTGAGCTAAAGTCGGTTGAAAAGACTAAATATTTGGTGCATCATAGAGTTGTGACTGCCTTGTGTGGCGCTCCTCCCTCAAAAAAACCCCTAGCCAGCCTCCTGCAAGCCACCAGCGATTTTTTCCGGCCCTCTGTATCATTTTTCCACCGTCAAAAATCGCGGGATGCAAGTTGCCGGAAGTAAATTACCGGCGGGCTTGGCATTTTCTCTGTAGATCGCATGGGAATCTTTTTGGGTGTGACGCTTCCGACCAAGCTAACGCCGACGACGACACCTTCTTCCCCAACGACGACCACGACCACGACGAGCACGAGTCTAACACATCCGACATTTCACAGTCTGATATGTCGGCCAATTCGATGTACAACGTTAGTATATTCCTAAATGCCCAAACTTGAACGCCCTTTGACCAATATATATACAGCATCGGAGTCTACAGCCAGCTGGGCGCTCAGGTGCAGGAGGGGGAGGAGGAGGGGCGAGTGGGAGTGGAGGAGGAGGTGGAGCACCGACGGGTCCTGGAGGCAACGGTGCGGGCGGTCCTCCACCTGGAACCGTCGTACTTGGCAACGCAGCCCCTCCACAAGCCATCGCCCTGGGAGGAAGCGGTGGGCCTGGGGGTCCTCCTGGGCTCGCTCCTGGCGCTGGAGGTGCACCTCTCGCCTTTCCCGGTGCACTCAGGATCAACGACAGCTTTGAGGCTATCAAGGCTGAATTCGAGGCCCTGATGAACGAGGTCGAACTATGCAAAAATCAAAAGGAGGAAGTTGAAGTCAAATGTATGTTTTATCTCATATTCCTCTATACTATTCTAATTATCCTCCAGTAAGCGCACAAATGGGCGAACTGACAGCCATTCGAAACGCGCTATTCGATCTCGAACGACAACACGGCAAGATTCGCCAGAGCTACGAGGACGAAATCGCCAAACTCAGGAGTGATTTGGCAGCGATACACAGCAGTCGCAACCCACCTCCACCGCCTGCCGGGCTCGCTGGGCTAGGCGTCGTGAGCGGTGTCGCCGGACCTGGCACACCAGGCTATCGAGGTGGCGGACCGGGTCAACACGAAGGTGGTCCTCTTGCCCCTCCTCCTGGCCCTCCTCCACCACCCGGCTACGAAAATGGTGTGACGCGTGGATCAGATCTTCCTCCTTCGCTTGATGGACGCCGTGGCGGTATGCCCAAAGACAGTGGCAGCCGACAAGAACGCGACAGGGACCAGCGAGACAGGGATCGCGAATTCGACATGAGAGAGATGCGAGAACGCGATATGGCTATGCGAGACCGGGAGCGAGACAGGGACAGGGACATGATGGTCGTCGATCGCATGGAACGAGGACGGGACCGTGAACGACGCGAATACGAGTTGGACAGGGAACGGGATATGAGAGAACGGGACCGGGAATTGGATCGTCTAGCGGATGGCAGGGATCCCAAGAGACCTAAAAAGGGTGCGTGTCCACGGTTAAAACTTTAATTTGCTTTATCCCTGATTTCGCTTTATAGATAACGGTGCGGGATATGGAGGTCCAGGAAGCCACACGACAACACCGAGACTGCCTCCAAGCCATGCTCTTTACGGTGCAGGTAGCTCAGGAGGACCATCCTCCAACGGACCGACAGGATCACCTTACACGTCTGCTCCTCCACCCCTCGGACATCCAGCCAACGGCGCCCCACCTCCACCACCCGGTTCCGCTGGCGGACCTCTCCCCAAGACCGAGGGTGGGCTGAGTGCTTTGGGACTGGGACCCCCACCTGCGGGAGGACCACCACAGCCTCCTCCGTCCAGCTCGGCGGGCGCTTTGGTGCCTGGTGGGGAAGAGTTTAATTATAACAATGTTCCACCCGAGTATAGAAAGGACGGACCGGATTGGTTCGCCGCGTTCAATCCAAAGATCAAGAAGTCCCTGGATATCCAACTGGTTCATTCCTTCCAGCATTCCAGGTATGTTATCTTTTACAGCGTGTGAACAAAACTAACACATAACGCAGCGTGGTGTGTTGTGTACAGTTCTCGCAGGATGGGCGGTTCTTGGCTACTGGTTGCAACCAGACTGCGCAAATCTTCGACACAAAGTCGGGGCTCAAAGTGTGGTGAGGGTTGCTCTTTGAACAATGTCTCGTATACTGACAAGTGTTACAGTGAACTGCCGCACGAGAGCGAGGCACATACAGGCGACCTATACATCCGCAGCGTCCGTTTCAGCCCAGACGGCAAACTTCTCGCAACCGGTGCAGAAGATCGTCAGATCCGCGTAAGTCTTCCCTCTCTCTTTACAATCCTCCTCACTCACACTCCAACAGATCTGGGACATTCAACGCAAACGCATCCGCCAAGTCTTCGACGGCCATCAACAAGAAATCTACTCTCTCGACTTTTCCCAAGACGGCCGCCTCATCGTCTCTGGCTCTGGCGACCGCACCACCCGAATTTGGGACATGGAAACCAGCAAATGCAACGTCTTTACCATCACCGACGTGATCGACCACAACACCGACGCAGGCGTCACATCCGTCGCCATCTCTCCTTCCACCGCACTCGTCGCTGCCGGTTCTTTGGACAACATTATAAGAATCTGGGATGTCCAAACGGGTCAGCTTTTGGAGCGGTTGAGAGGACATACGAATAGTGTGTATAGTGTGGCGTTTACCCCCGATGGCAAGGGGCTCGTGACGGGTAGTTTGGACAAGACGTTGAAGCTTTGGGATGTGAGCCATCTGAATAGTGTGGAGGGGAGGAGAAAGGCGGCGGATAATCCGGATCAGAGGGATAGAGTTGAGAGGGAACGGATGGAGAGGATGGAGAGGGAGGGCAAGGTCGTGCAGAGTGCGAATTGTTTGATGGATTTCATTGGGCACAAGGTGTGTTGATTTTTTTTGCCGTTGTGGAATGGGTGCTGATGGTGGTTGTAGGATTATGTTCTGTCGGTGTCGATGAGCAGTGATTCGCGATGGGTGGTTAGTGGATCGAAAGATCGTTGTGTACACGTATGGGACTCGCAGACGGCGGTGTTGCAGTTGATGCTCCAGGGACACAAGAACTCGGGTATGGTCTTCCTATCGCTCGTTCACTTCTCCCGTGTCCTGACCAATCCATGATAGTCATCTCACTGGACCTCAACTCGAACAACGATCTTCTTGCGACCGGTTCGGGAGATTCGTTTGCTCGGATCTGTGAGTTTATTCCATTGTGTACCACTTGAGACGAGCTGACTGGATGTTCTAGGGAGCTTGGCAAGGATCGAACGCTAAAACGAAAGCTTGCCCTTGCCGTGCGGACCTCTTCTACACTGCCGTGTCCGTCAGACGTTCCCTTCTTCCCATTGATCCAGTTCAACCTGTCTATTTTTGTGTGTACCTTTCCCTGCCTTGCTGTACTTCATATCTTTCCTTTGTTTTCTGTACCCTTGTATTGTGGTATCTTTATTCGATCTCATTTTCTCCCCTTCCGCCGTTGGTGGGCTATCAACTCCGTCGGGTGATTTGCTGGCTGGTGACAAGGTTAGCCAAATCAACGAGCTCACGTTACAGGCCAAGGATCCTTTGATCCCCTTAATCGCTGATTTGACTGGTTGACTGACATCCGACTTTCAGCGCAGCAGATGAAAGATTTCGAAATGCGGAAAGGTGCACAACGTACAGTCAACACCACGATAGCCCATACCGCTCGGTGGACGCTTCCGGCTACAGGTTAGAAGAGTCTGGGTTATGTCAGTGCTCTCCTCTGAAATTGGAGGTTCGGTAGCTGGGAATTGGTATCGACCTACGAAGGTATGGCTCATCGCGGGTAGGCTGTACACAGTACGCTGACAGGTGCCAGATGGTTGACAGAACGAAATGGATCATGTGCCACCAGCTGCTGTGCACAGCGCTTGGCGTACCCTCCTCTTCCCCCCCACCACAACCACACCACATTTTCAACATGGAAACAGAGGAGGATGGCAAGGTACCCACCACATTCGACCCAGGGAGTTTTTCCAAACCCGTCCAACCGCCAATACAACAGCCCAAGCGAAAGAGGGACAAGCCTCAAGCTAAGAATGACCCACCGCAGGCGAAAAGAGGATGCTGGCGGCAGGACGACGAGCAGACCCTCGTCGATGGATCATCGAGAGACTTCTCAACAGCCTTGATTGCTGGCGCTCAGAGCGCTCAGATTACGGGCGGCGTCTTCACGATTGCTGGTCGAGACCACATCACCATCCATAACCACCATTGCGGGCCTCTCGCAATCGACGTATTGGCCATTCTGAAATCCTCCGGGCTGCCCAACTTCCGCTCTATCCAGCAAGATACGCTCGCAAAAGCTGTGGAGGGAACCTGTGTATGGCTGACCGAGGGCGAGGTGTTGCGAATTTGGATTGAGAGGGGAAAGGTTTTGTGGGGAAAGGGAATACGTGAGTGGATTTCTTGCTTCAAGTAGCTCCGGAGGTTAATATCTCGGTCTTTAGCAGGAGCAGGCAAGACTATCCTCGCGTTAGTTAAAGTCTTTCCTACTCGAGTGTGGCTGACACTGTCTCAGAGCGATTATTATCAGACACCTCCAGCGGCTGGAGGCATTAACGGGTGCCATCTGCGTGGCATTCGTCTATATTCGCTACAGCGAACCGCTGTCGATTCGCGACATCTTGGAGTCACTCGTGGCGCAAACTCTCGAGCGCCATGCAGACCTCATACCCTATGCAGAACCCCTCTACTTGCAGCACCAGCGGGAGGGTACAAGGCCCAGCCAGAGCGAACTGGTCGACCTTCTCTGGGTCTTTATCCACTCGGGTAAAACCATGTTTTTCATCCTTGACGCCCTGGATGAGCTGTCTTCCGAAGATAGACGCACGCTGGTTGAGCTTCTCGCATCGATGGATGTGAAGCTCTTTGTTACATCTCGCCCCCTACAGGCACTGGAGCGACACTTCCCTGAAGCCCAGTTCTTCGATATTGCTGCCCGCCCAGCTGACATCACCCTTCTCATCAAGGACTCTGTCCGTCGCAATAGTGAGCTTCAAGAGTT